TTGTTAAAATTGTCAGCCACATATAAATTTAAATTATTATCGACAAAGATATCACATGGTGCGTTAAGTGTAGACGGTGTTGATCCAGCAGTTCCTGTTCCAGCGACAGTATTCCAAATATTTAAATGTGTATTCAATGATTGTGAGATAACTTTATTAGAACTATACAGTGAGCAATAAAGCATATTATTAATATCAATAAAAAGACCAAAACATGGTCCACAATTATACATTGTTGGAACACTACTATTTGAATTAAATGCCCATTTGTCAACCCGATTATTTGCATAACCATTATCAACATAAATATCACGATTATCTGTGACGAAAAGACTATACGATGTGTTTAAACCACCCGAAATAGTACTTGTCGGTGTTGCACTATTGTTAAGCCAAATTTGCACTCGATTGTTTAATCGATCAGCTACATAAACCGTATTATTTGTATCGACAAAAAGTCCATAAGGATATGTACCAATTAAAGCACTAGTAGCAAAAGTTATAGCCGTCAGATTCCATGTTGCATTTGCACAAAATTTCGGCAGATTGTATGCAATGCCTACAGTAAATAATAAAGATTGGTGTATAAAGTTAAATATCTTATTTAAACAAAACGCATACCTGATGTTTGACCAATCAACATCGATAATAACCAAATATTGAGCAAGTTAAATAATACCATATTATTTATCTAAAACAAAATCAATAAAGTAGTTATCTGATGAAACACAAACTGAAAGCGTCCTCTATCATGACAGACATTATTAACTGATATCAACCGCTTTTGAAATGAATAGAATATAAAATAGTCACTAAAAATAACAATAATTTTGTTAAAAAACATCAAGTCAGTCTCTTTAATATACAATGAATTTTTTTTACAATATATCAGTGATAATTCTTTTTCTCGATGATATATTTTTCTAAGATATATATTTGTTTAATTAAAAATATGACTGTTTTTATTTTCTTTTTCTCATCAAAAGGCTTCGAAAAAGCATTTGGCAAATGTATTCTTTTATATTATTTTTAGTATTAGAAAAAAAACTACTTTTTCTTATTGCAAAATCTAATTTTGAAATGAGGAAAACAATGTTTTTGTTTTGTTTTATGTTTCTAAGAAAGAGAATAATCGTTTCTCATATTTGATTGAAGGTCTTTATCTAAATAAAAATCTTTTTTTTACTGTACTTCGGATGTAAAATTATATATTGAACTTACTTTTTCAAGATAAATCATGTTAACAATATGCTTAGAAATATCTACACAATGAGACTTGGTATTACAGTAGTCGCCAAAAAAACTTG